CCTGAATTCTTACCTGGCTTGAGATCTTGTGATGGGTCAATGATAAACTTGTGCAACCTCTTGACTCATGAATTTATTAAGCATTGCTTTCTCATTTTCAGGTCACAGCACAGTAAAATCAAGTTGCTTTTTGTTGCCTTTATACCAAATGGAAAAGCAGAGTAGAAATAAAAATACCCTTTTGTAAAGTTTTCTTGTGTGGACAATTCCTCTTTGAAATAGCATATGTATACTTGTAAAATCGACATAGCAGCAAGGATTTGTGTGGAAGGTGATGCAGAATCGGGTGAAGTATATATTTAAAGTTTAGTAATTAGGCCATGCTATATTCTCAGGATGACATTTTATTTTCCCAAGTGAATCACACAGTTTAACCCATATCCAAGATGCAGTAGGATGAAGTATACATAACTGCTTTCAGGGCACATCTATCCTGGTAATTAGGTTTGACATTTGTCGTTTACATAGGCTGGACAGCAGAGACTGGAAGATAGACAATCTGTGGCAGTTCTGCCAAAGTCAGGTAAGGATTTCGTTTTTGTCCTTGCCACCCCTTTTCTTTCTGCAAGGGGTTCGGAATTTGGGGGTTTCTGGTGGCAGAGGTCACCTCTTTCATATTCAAAAGCAGATAGCGCACCTCAAGTAAAAGCACAAGGTGCAGGCTCTGACGTAGGACACAGAGAGCTACTGCAGCTGTCATTCAGCCTTCACACAGCGCAGCCTCAAGACCAGCGTTGCCCCTGGAGCTAAATGCTGTGTATTAAGTATACTTAATACAGTTCTATTCTGTAAAATAGAAAATTAAGTATAAAATGGAAATGATAAACAATTGCTGAATAGCTATTTCAGTCCCTTTGAGCTTACCTTTTGAGTGTCCCAACTCCATGCTCACTTCAGGTCTCAGAAGCCAGCAACATCTGAAGATTTAGTCTTGCAAAAGAACATCTATTTTGCTAAAAGATTTCTGCTAGACCATGGAGGAGGACATGAGGACATGAGTTACTGGTTTCAGTGGGTATGCAAACTCATGTTCAGCTGAGCCAAACAAGCACCAGCAATTTAAATTTATTCATGTTTTAGATGTGTCTAAGTACTTAGCTCTCTCTACATGTCCTCTCCTGTCTAGTAGTGCACAGGAAGGGGAAGTAAAAGCAAAGGAGTACTTGAGTGCAGTGAGGTGACCAGTACTCTCATATGAGCTCTGTGAACACACTAAAGTGTGAGTACACATTCATTAGAAAGTTTCTGCTATCGTTCAGTGGATACTTTTACTTTTTCCTCCTATCTGATCCTTCTGTTTCAGTAAGAACTCGTTTCCCTGAGTAAAAGAAGGAGACCTTCCATTTTTTCCCAACCAATTGAGCAGCTTACAGCAGTGCAGTGGAGAGAGGGTATCGTTCAGCAGTTCTGTTCAAAGCTGGAGGAAAAATAATTGGAAGTTTTAGAGGTTCTTAGGGGGTTTTTGTATATTGGTTTGTCTCTATTGTTTTTTTTTAATCTGTCCTTCAGTGTACAGAATAGCTCCCAAATTCAGTATCAGATTTCACTGCAGTAAATGAGATCTCCTTACCTTAATTCTTTTGTAATTAGCTTTAAATTGCTTCCTCTCTCCCCTTATTTCTGAAGCCTGTCATTACTGTAAGATGAATCCAATGAGTAGAATACCCATGCTTACACTTAGTCAAGTGTTTTATGCACAGCAAAACCCTGAGCAGAGTCTTAACCCACCCTGCCCTGAAAGAGCTGACACCCCTTGTGCGAGCGTCCAGGCTCATGCTCAGTCTGCGCTTTAGAACCTGGTGCGAGACGTCTTTGTGGATTTAACAAAGCTTAGCTCATCTAATTGAGCTGAAATAGGAAAAAGCAGGGAGAATCTCATATTGGGGGGAAAGGAAAGAACTTGCACGGAAATGGAACAACCGATGGCTCCTTTAGCAGGGAGCTACGGTCGTGAGACATGAACAGGCTGCAGAGGCCAGCCATAGCTCACGCGGCAGCACGTACTGCTGCAAGCCGCCTGGTCACTAGTGACAGGCAAGGAGCTGGGTGTGAAACTCTAAACTACTGCTGTTCCTTGAAGATACTGAGGCTTCTTCGTGTAGTGTAATGAAGGTAATTTTCAGCAGACCTGCTGGAGCCTACTGTCTGAATGCCGTATCTCTACATGTGGTTGGAGGCCACTGCCCAACCACCTGCAAACAGGGAAAACACAACCCCAAAACACAGCCTTGTCTTGTCGGAAGAAAAACTGAGGTGGAACAGAAGGAACATTACCCAGGGTTTTTCCCCCCCCCCACTTGCATTCAGTAGAGAAGCAGCAGACATGACAAAGTGGACTGAATCAAGCGAAGAAAGTTACTATCAACAGCAGTCCTCAGGTGTGTAAGGCTATCCGTGTTTTACTCTGTATTTTCAAGCCTCTTCCTGAAAATAGTCTCCAACGCACACAGAACTGCACTAGTTGTTGCATTTGAATTGCCTCAAATTCTCTTAGTTCTTTAGGTAGTTGGTGCTGTTAGGATTCAACTGAGGTCAGATTTGCATATAGCAGAGAAGTTACTGAGTTATTGCAGACAGTGGAAATCAGTGCCATCTAGTGACATCTTTTTCTGCCACCTTCAAATGATATCTTGATTTAAATGCATATGTTCCTCCCTCTCGTAGTTATGCCGTTTTAGATGAGGACTTCGATTCCTTTCTTTCATAAATAATTATTTTATATTTCCTTAGTGTTTACTATCCTGTGAAACATGCTTTTAAAGCAAAACTAGAATATTTTAGTGTCTCAAATTCAAGGACTGATTTTCTCAGAAAAACAGAATGTAAGTTACTATTTGGAGATATAAAAAGATCTCATTTATAACAATAATATCACCAAAATAAAAAAGCTCCCAGAAATGTCTCAAGGAGGTAGTGAAGTCTTCACAAGAAAATACAAAAAATTCAGATTCTTTGGCATCTTCCAGCAGTTTCTCAAAAACCCCCACCAAAAAACCCCATAACCCTACTCTTAAGCACAAAGGAGATAAAGGAAAAAATAAAGTGCCAGCAGTGATGGTAGAAGTCACATTTGCCAAAGCCTTTTTAAGAAAAGGGCTCAAAAACCATAGATGAGTGTCCAAATATTTACTACCGAAAATACAAAGTAAAGAATCCTCACAAGCCACGTACAGTATGCAGTAGAGGAAATACGTGCTCCTTCCTGCCATGCTGACCTACCTCATCTCTCCCAAAAGGCTAACGTATGACAGTACCTGTGCTGCAGTTCAGAATACTTCCACAAAGTTACCAACAAGTAAGTATCCACGTAGAAAGCCAGTATCAAAACACCACAGAGAACAGACAAAACATCGTCTTTTTAAAAAGCTTCAGTTAGTAGCAAAGGGCTGAGCCCAAAATAGTTCTTCTAATAAGAATACAGAGACTAAATATCAACCACTAATGTTACATTCCTGGCACAAACTTTGGGTAACTCAGCATTAGGACAAGCAGAAATTACAGTTCCAGGAAACTCATCTCTTAATGACCAATTTTACTCTGTAAGGTAGCTATGGATTCAGCCACTAGATGTCTTCACTGTACAGAAATGCAATCTGTGGTACCAGTATTTTGTCTGAAGTGGAAGCATGCTGTGCATGCAGTTACACTCAAGGAGCTTTCTTTCATAAATATTTTCCCTTTAGGCTGGATTACAATTTTTTGTAAGGCTGTTTCAGTTTCTCACAAACATCAGTATGATTCTGCTTATCATCACGCGCTTAGCCAGACACTTCCAACCACGAAACTCTGGAAAACTGTTCAATTATTTTCTCCAAAATATTATAAAATCTGACTTTTTAAAAGTATATTGTATATTGTAAAATATACATATATTTTGTCTAAAAAGGTTGAAATGTCTAGAATAGAATAGCTCAGTTGGAAGGCACCTACAACGATCATCAGGTCCAACTACCTAAGCACAAATCAGAGCATGTTGTTAAGGGCATTGTCCAAATGCTTCTTAACACTGACAGGCTTGGGGCATCGACCACCTCTCTAGGCAGCTCGTTCCAGTGTTTGACTACGCTCTTGGTAAAGAAATGTTTCCTAACATCCAGTCTGAATGTCCCCATTTTAAGACAGGATTTCATAATGGCATTGATTTCTTCCCTGGTTTCTATTTGTGGTTGTTGTATTGGCATTATAAATAGAACTAGTAATTGTATTACATGCAAAAGTTCCTGTTCAACCCAAGTTTGATTCTCGCTTTATGAAGAAAGTCTGCTGTGGCAGACTGTTTTGGGAAGGTTCAGCTAAATGGTTCAGAATTTTAGAAATATTTAAGGGAAGAAGGTGTAGAGCACATACTGAAAAGACCCCACAGAATATAAATCCAGACTGCTTGGCCTTACGTTATGAGGATGCTAAGACTAAATAATAGAAGCAATCATCTCTTACAGTGCAGAATATTGTCAATTAGATTTACTGCAAATTAAGACAATTCAGACATGTGTTTTTGACATCTGCCAGCTTGTGAATAGTGAATTTGTTCAGCTGCTTAATTTGTTAATGTTGAATTGTAGTAACACACAAGGACTGAACAAGTTAAAATTACTGTTGTGCATCCCTTCTCTCTGCTACATTGCTGCTTGTAAAATTAAAACCTCAATTGCAGGAGCATCTCTAAAAAAAAAAAATCTGCACCTATGTTTGTTGCACTGCAAGGGGAGCCAGAGAAGGGTGGAAGATGTTCTGCCTTGAATCGCAGAGCAGTTCTGAGATGATGTGAAATGATCAAGCAGTTCACTTTTCAACCACACAAAAAAAGGCAGCTGTGTAGCCCATCAGATTTTTGCAGATATGTTGCTTCCCCGCCCCTGTCTGCACTGTCTCGGCAGAAGAACTAGAAAAGGGAATCAGCTCAGACATACGCCACAGGTAAACCCAACACGATGCAAGCAGCCCGCTGAACTGCACTGTTTAGAGGCGCGGGAACCTCTTCTCTCTACCATGCCCAGAGAATGAAGGCTTCTCCAGTCATGTCGATGAAAGAGATATCACTGTGCATCCTTACAGTAATGCTGGCTCGGAGCAATGACCAAGTTTACGGTAAGATGTGGTCTTATACTTTAACCTGTCTGTAGTTATTAAACATAGTGGGGGGAGAACAGAGACCAAAGCAGTGCTTAGTGTACCGTAGAGATGATCTGTGTCTTATTTTATTACCGTATCAGAGGCTCCTAATTTGATTGAAGAGGATGATAGTGACAATAATTGAGAAATATTCAGTAACTTTCTAGGCTAGAACTCTAGTACTTGGAGACAAAATACGTCTTGCTTTGTGGCAAAAGGCTCAGCCTTCAAGGGGTTTGGCAGCGTTCAAGCCTCTGCTTGAAATCTGTGAATCCTACTAGCTCTGACCTAGATCCAGTTTGCAGTCAAATTATCCTTACCAGAGAAGTGTACTTTCAACTATTTAGCTTAACCCTGTCTAATTTGCATTCCACTTTCAACTTTCAGTCTCCGTAGTTTTTAAATAGAGATGCTCTCCTAATTTAGACTAGTGTGAGGACTACACTGTGCCCAATATACTCCTAATATTATTTTTACTTTGCTTGCTTGATGAGATTATTTTTTTCAAGTTCTTCCCTGCTAATACCATACAGGAGACATAAGAGTTACAATTCAAAGGAAGGCAGTCATGCAGAAAGGATTACAGCTGCTGCAATGGATGCACTCAGCTGCTGTTGATATGTTTTAGATATTATCAACTGATAAATTGCTCAAAATAATATTTGTTGTAAGGCACTGCTGAAATTACACAAACGAGTTGGCTATGTGAAGCTTAGTTGACATGCATATTACTAACTCTGCAAATCTATAGCATCTTTCAACATTCCTTGTTTTTATGAGTAAAACACATTATTAATACTAATAGGAAAGGTTAAACAAGCATTCAGAGCAACTGCCTGGGAAGGGAATGAGACATGAATTACCATGTCAGGTGCATGCAGCTGTTTCTTAATCAGGGTTTGATCTGAGCTCGAGGAGGCTACTGAACTGCTTTTCATTTGATTTGCAAATGAATAAACTAACATGCTGCTGAAGAGGATGTATCTAGAGCTAATAACCTCCTTCATACCCTAAACAGAAGCACCGTCTTTTCTTCGAAAAGCTAACTACTGTTTCAGTTCACTTCATCGAGTCTGCCTGTGTTATTAGTCCCTCACACAATCACCTCTCTGCATTGTCCAGGATCGTTCATTAATACATGGACGAACCCTCCATACTCATCTGCTGGGTTCCCAGATACTGTTTTTAAAACAGAATATAATTTCTGTTATGCTGTTTATTGCATGACTCTTGTTTACACAGAATTTTTTTTACTAGATTTTATACTTTGATCTACATCAGAACTACCTGGAGTCCCCCGAGAACAATAGTGTTTCCTTCTATACACCTATATTACTACAAATATCAGAATCGTGTTGATAGGAGCATTGCAGAGAGAAAAGTTTTTAAGTCGATCTCTACAGAACCATGTAGTAAATATTTTTAAATGTATTTACATTTTGGCCATAAGTTTTCTAAGCTTGACTGGATTTTATTTGGGTTAGAAGCTGAAAATTAAAGCGATTTTTTTTAAGCTTTTTATGTTGCAAATCTATCCAGAGTTTCTCTTGCTCCTAACAGAAACAAAGTTGACCACGCAGATTTCATATACAAAGTCAACAACCAGCAAACCTTTTCTAAATTAGGGAAGCAGAAGTAAGCTTGTTTCTGATTAGTCACAAAGAGAAGGACCTTCTCCCCCTTCACCCCGATAATTTTAGTCCAGTTAGACTCTGTCTCCTTTGTAACACCAAAGAACAGATTGTTCTTGGCTCCAGCAACACCTTTGCTGTTAGACCTTCTGGTGGGATAGCCTGCACATGCCAACATTCAGCCAAACAGAAATGCTCCATCTTCGAGTTTCAGTCAGCAAAACGTAGAGGCACGTTTTCTGCACTTACACAGCTTTCATCAAGGAATGGTTAAAAAATGATGCAACTCTCCATCAGCTACCTCAGCAAGCAGGTCAGCTTTACATATACCACCACTGCCAGGAACAACACCCAGAAAAACAGCAAGCCAGAAAATCCTTTGTTATACACCAAGTAAAGAGAAAAAGTACATTACTCTATCTTTTAGATGACACGGGAAAAAATAAGTGAAAAGGACTAACATTAAATTTCTATTAGTAAAATGACATTCCTCAAAAAACCCAAATTGTAATATAAAATTAATAAAATAGAATTTTACATCATTCCTTGAAAAGCCTTCTCTGTAGCTGGGAGAAGTCTGAGAGGTGCCTGTCCTAGTATCACTTAATTTGTCTTCTGAAGCACTTCTCTTTCTAAATACACCTTACTTAAATTCACAAAGGAAGCATGTTTTCCCATGAGTTCTCCTCACAGCCCATTTCCCTTTTTGTTTTTAAAATTACAAAATCATAAAGATCTTGGTGTTAAACCCCAACAAATCAATGCACTTTCTGGTGTAGTTTTTGTGCTGTGGTCCTAACCGGAAACTTCACAGAAAGCCGGACCTGAGTTAAAACCATTACTAGTGCTTCGCTGTGTTCACAGACAGACCCAAATGTAGGATTCAAAACTAACTGTAGACATTTATTTTTCATGAATAATTGACATTTTGTACCTCAGCCATTATCTGCCTTAGGGAATAATACATATGACTTGTGTTCTATCCCATCCCTTGTTCCTTTTTCTTCAAAGGGAGGGGAGAGGAAAAAACAAATGAAAGAGAAATCCTTTTCAAAACAAACGCCTCAGAAACTTCAATTAATAAGTCTTAGCTCACTGGAGTTGTTCCGAGTTCTTAGATGACCAGGTGTGAATGACACCATCTATAATTCAGACATTAGAAGGCTCAATTTTTAGCTATTATTCTTCCACCAATGGGTTGAGTTAGGTAAATGAAAGCCATCTCCATTAACCCTCTTTTGTTTGCTTAGCAAGTCACATCATGACTAGATTTTCTAGAACAAAAGAATGACAAGTAAAATTAAAATCATTTTCTATAAAAGAAAGAATTGTCACGGGTATTTCTCTATTGTACAAGTTATGGAATACATGCTTTCATCTGAAATCCTTGTCCTGGCACTGCACTGTACAGAAGATTTTCCTTACCTGTGCAAATTAATTCTTGGTGCAATAGAGTCCGGCTCACCAAAGCCTGTTCAGGAACATACTCAAGTGATCTAAAAGAAAACGCGCTTTTAGTCAATCTGAATCTTGCCAAGGAGTGTAAGTTAGAAGCTGACATACAAAGCTTCTGTATGTTACAAACTCTTTCACCCTCTTGAAAAATGCACTTTCAGATATTCATCATGACCACCCACACACATCTCATTGAAAACTCAAGACTCAGTATAAGACCTTGTAACTGGATTCAGGTCTCATCTCACAACACTGTTAAAGAAAGGGTAATTAAACTTATCTCGGAAAGTACTTGCACATATGGAATATAGTTGGCAGACACTGTCTCTACCATTGACTTCTCATGAGCCACGGGAGGCAGGCGACAGAAAAAAGTGAAGATACACTGTCACAGGAAAAGTACATCAAGTCATGTTTGTGCTCATTCATTAACTGAAGTTTATTTCAGTTGCCTTTCTAGTGCCAACCAATAAACAAAAAAGGTGCTCTCGCATTATCAGGTGTGTAGATTTTTTTCCCCTGTTAAAAAAAAAAATATCCCTCATTCTCTAGGATATTATGGCTTATATTGTTATTTAATGCCAGATCTTCACTGACACCTATTCCTGCCAAATGGCCTTTACAGGAAATCTGTGACAGATGTTTTAAAAGTTTGCCTTGAGTATTTTATTCTATATAAAAAGGTCCCAAATATTTCTGTTTTTGAAAGGATTTTCTCCACTTCTTTTTATCCACTTAAAGTTTCTTGCCAAGTAAGGTGTGATTTGGGAGAGAGGAAAGGTTAATCAGAGATTTCAGGGCATGTTCGTTATGAATTCCCACACTTAGTTACTAGAGAATAAAAGGCTGGATTATAGGAAAAGGCTTTCTCTATCCCAGACTTTTAGTTATCAAAGGTCAAAATAATTCAAACCGAGAATTTTCCAAAGTCTGAGGAAAATGTTTAACTCTTACTGACTCATCTTTTCTGATGTTGTTGTTCTAGAAAGTCCCCAAATTGATTACTAGTAACCAAGGAGTAGGTTACTTCCTAGCAAAAAATTGAAAACCTAAAGCCCAAGCCATTCAGCCATCAGTTATTAACAAGTCACAGAAACATAAAAAAAACACTTGTGGTTATTTTTCATGCTCCAAGCATTGTCTTGTAACAATTGAAAAGAAAAAATAATCAAAGTCAGTCTAAGGTCCAATTGCTTTAAGTCCCTGAAAGGAAGGCCCTTTTGGAAGCTCTGAAGACAGTCTACGAACTCTTATACATGCTGAAAGGCAAGCAGTAGCTCATGTAGCTCCTGATTAGGAAGTTCAAAAGATTGCTGAATTTGACTGAAAGAAAAAGAAAAAAATTACTGAATGAAATAGTGGTGTTTACCTAGCATCCACAGGCTTCTTCCAAGGGATCTACAAATGATAACTAAGAAATTTCAATCAATTTTCAGCAAACTAAATTTCTTCTGCCAAGTCTACAGTTACACTTGGAAGAAAGGGGGGTGGGGGGGAAGAATGCACTCTAAACTAGAGGGCATTGAAGACCAGGTGAACCACAGTGGCCTCAACCCCCACTTATTTTAAGGGAAAAGAGGAAGAGGATTAGTATGTGAGGGTTAATTGACAGCAAGCTGCCAAACACTTCCACCTGCATCAGCAGCCAGAAAGGCAGGCTCAGAGCCGGCAGTGCCATGCAAACCTCCGTCTGGGAGCACCTCTGAGGGCCCGGGGGACAGGAGGACTCTGCTGCTCAGAGGCTCTGCGCAGGCAGTGATGCTGCAGGGCTGAGTGGCAACTGCGGCTCAAGTCTTCCCGGGTGCCGTTCCCAAAGCTCAGTGGCACATTCCGTCTCCCACCTTCTGGAGAAAGCAAGGGTGTTGGAGTTAAGCCCACTTGATGGTAGGGAATTTTGCTCTGGAAACATAATTTAACCAGAGCTGATTATCTTGGAGTTATACTAGTGAGGTTAATGATTACCACCAAAGTGAATTATCATCACCAGAAGACGAAGAACCAAAACCATGGCACATGTTGGCATAGGTGCTTGGGGAAAAAAAGGGAAACACTCTTCAAGCTCACCTGACTGCAAGACGTACTAGCACGTGTGTGCAAAAGTAATACAAATAATATCAATGCCAATGGAACTTTTTTTAAAAAAAATCCAAATGGTAACCAAGTCAATCCTTTGTTAGCAATGGAGTAGCTCCTTATGTCTTAATCAGTAGTGGGGCAGGAATTTTATGGAGGGAAGTTTTTCATTGTGGTATCAGTGCAAGCATACTAAACTTTAACTGTTTATACCTTGCACCTTCAGAGCAAGGGCTGCACAAATAATACTTTAGAAGTATATCCAGACCTCAATAAGGCTTCTGCTCAAGAAACTTCTATATTCCCACTCAGGATGTGGCTGGAGGGTAATTCAAAACCTGTGCACCCGTTATCACCCCTGGTCCCTCCCTCTGAGCGGTCCTGCCACTGAGTGTTACTCTAGGTTACACTGACCAGTGCAAGACAGCCATTTCTTTAGAGCATTATTTAACACTGATAAGACATTTTCCTTTCCAGCTACCTACACAACTAATGTTCATCTGAATTTGTGAGGATTAGTAACCCCGTCCCAAGTGAATGCTTTTGGATGCACAGAATTTGCTCAATGCTGAGCAGCTGATTCTTCCAAAAGTGACAGTGGGCAGTGATGTATAATGTGTTGTAAAAGCACCAGATGATTCAAATTCAAGAAAAACATGACATTCCTGTACTGGAAAAGGATAAGAATGAAAGAAGCACAAAAATTCCTGCCCCTCTCCCTGTTTAATAATGATGCTGAATGAGAGAGTGTCACTGAAATCTGTTTTAAAACTTTGAGAGAAATTGGATTTTTAGGACCGTGCAGTAAAGTTTCGGATTTTGTTTTGTTGTTTTTTTTTCTCAAAAGATAATTTTGAAACAGATACAACTGTACGATAAAATCATTAGATGAAGGACATCAGAAAATATCTGTTTTGCAGAGACCTGCACATCCTTCTAGAAATACCTGTTACGTACGATTATATCAGAAATACAACTGCTATCAGGGCACAATCTGAGCTTTATAGATGCTTCCTGAAGCATTATCTTCTGTGGCAATCATTGCTCAAATAATTGAAACCTCTACTTTCTAATCTGAGCTTTTAGTTTCCATTTTCAGACTATTGATAATGATGTGCTGCTACTGCGGTATGACCAAGCAGGTATGACCTACTTGCCAGAAACCAAATCATGCTTCTTTCTTTTAATCAGAGATGGAAAAATCTAAGTGAAATATAAGTGATCCTGCTTCATAATTAAAATGTGTCTGTTAGAATGATCCTATTCAGGGGAGCAGAAAAGGAACTAGATGACTGGGCAGGGCATGCTGACCTAACACCTAAATGCTGCCTTGTGAACGTGGCCAGGCTCTACATGTTAGAGCTGTTGCTATTTGCCACACTATATATTGCCATTAAAAATATATATATTATGTGTATTTAATAACTGAAATGGTATATTTAATTATTTTATTTGCATTAAATTTCATACAATATGCCAAATATTATATTAAATATATTAAATATATTGCTACTGCTACTGCGTCCAGATGGATGGTCCCTGGGAGAATATCTCTTCCTGTACACCACATATTCATTTATGACCAGGAGCTACTATTGAGGCAATGCGGTGGCAGAGAGCAGATGGTTAGCCTATCTTGTGAATCAGTGGAGACTATATAAGAAATGCCATACTGCCTAACACCACCAACGCTCCATCTAGCCCAGCACTCTGTCTCTGGCGGCAGCAGCACAAAAAAGGAGAGACAAGTCAGTTCAGGGAGAGCACATGAGCACGGCCACTTTCTGTGCTTCATTCCCCTCCTGTCCCCCCAGCAACGGAACAGTTGCACCTGGGACATCAGCATGTAGTACATCTTTCCCAGGTCCTTTCAGTATCCATTTATGGACCTGATGTCCATGACCTTGTCTACCTGACTACATACACTGACAGGTTAGAAGGTAAATTCAGCTATATTATCCTGACAGACGTCAGTGTAGGTTAGTCCTCAGGGCCGCCAGTGATTCAAACTCTACAAGCTTCCACAGAAACCCGTTCCAGTATTACTGCTTTCACAGTTAGGAAGTCTTTCAAACTATCTAATCAAATTTTCTTACTTCACTTTTAGTCCATTATTTCTCCCCACACCTAACAGAAACACGAAAAACCAGATTATTTTATTCTTCTTTTATGTCTTTACCTGATTTTATTACATTCCTTCCCTCTCATTGCTGTTCTTTCAGTGAAACAACCTCAAGAACTTCAAGCTTTTCATTATGGTTTTCTTATGTTCTTGGCATTTGGTGGCTTCTTTCCAACTTGGAGAGACTCCAGGCATTTCCCCTCTTCTTTCTTGAAGAGTGATGCAAAAGACTGGACAAGATCTAGGTGCACTTACCAGTCCTTAGCAGAACACAAAGGTTATCATGTGTCCCCTGTATATCTTCTTGAACCGAGCCTGCCTTTTTGTAAATAATTTCTCTAATTTATCTGGTAAATCTAATTTACTGCTTGTAATCTATTTATAGGTTTCTTGCTCCACTAACTAGCAAAGTAAGATTTTCTTAGTTTTACAATCAATATACTTACACTTGATGTGTTTTCCTAAGTGTGTCTCATTCTCTGCCATGACTTCTCCAGTGTTGGTCAATTCTTATGTGCCCCTCCTTAATAACCTGACCTTCTTTATGCTTTTGGAGGCTTCCTTCTTGTCTCAGTGAAAAGCTTGTTCAGGATTCAGCCAAGCTAGTCTTTTACTGCACTACTGTAGTGTAGTGCTTAGTGCTTGTACTCTTACCATTTATTGGATGGACCACCAGCTCTGTTTATGTCTTTTTCCTTTGTATTTGCATCTCGTGAGTCTTATCTCCCAGGTCTCCAAACCTATTAAAGCTTTCTTTAACAAGCCCAACTATTTATATTCTGCTGTTCTCCTTACTTCTTTTCTTAGGGATATTGAATGAATTAAGGCTTCTGGTTTCCCTTGTCTTTTATCCAGAACTTGTAATTAGTAAAAAGACGTTGTTAGTACCCAGAGCTATTGTCTTCCTTGTTTATTTTCTGATGTCCATCCAAATTATCTGAATTTCCTCCACATGCCCTTTCCACAACACAAATTTTAAAGTCCAAGTTATTTACCTGTGGATGTTGCCACTCTCTGTTCGCCTCAGTTTAACCCTCATTTAAAGCCATCCTGTCTAAGGAAAAGTTGGTATACGAGGATGATTTCGTATTTGGGCCCCTCAAAGACACTTCCCAGGATGCCAAGTCCTGTGGGTCAAAGAGTTTCTCTATTGCCTGTGGCAGAGAGATATCAGAGACCACAAGTTCTTTCAGTGGCTGCAGATATCAGCCTTACAGTGAATACCCTCTTCCTCATTATCTAGCATGATCAGGCACATTTGATAGGGCAAGATTAGAACAATATTAAATATTTAGGTTTAGAGGTAAGTTTAGAGGCAAATGAGTGCCACCTAATTTTTAGATGCCCATTCCCAAAGTCACCTTAAAGTGAATAAACCAAAAGATCAACAGCAGCGAAGAGTTAGCTCCGCTATAACGACGCCTATGAACACACTTATGCTCAAAACACAATATTAGTGAGTGCTATACAATTTATTTATGGGATGGAGTGGTCGGAGGTCTGTAGGGATTTTTTTTTTGAATGAAAAATGTAAATCTTTCTATTCCAAGCTCTACAGATCTATATAGATTATACTACCCAAGTATTATTCACAAGGACTGCTATATGATGTGCATAAGAAATCCTGGCTGACTGTGGAGGTGAGGTGTTTGGTGTCGCAGTTATGTGTGCTGGCTGCCCGGGGCCCCAGAGGCTCCGTCCCTTGAAGCAGTGCTGGCTGCGGACAGACAGACCCCTCCGCTCTCCACGTTGCTCTTTCCTCCCTTACATATTTTTTCTCGCGACAAAACTTCCCTTCAACATATTTTACCATTTTTTCTACTTCCCTCTATCGACCAGAAAATACAGATATGCTTAACATTTTTCCTCTTGACTTGCTATCAATCACTCTCTTCAGTGCACAAGTACTGTGCTCTAAGACAGGGTAGGGCAATAGACAGAACATGGGTATCACACAGGTTTTGTTACTTTTACTTAACCAGAGTAATAAAGCACCACAAGAAACACGAAGCTTTAATAACAGTAAGTAATAGCAAGACTCAGAGTTAAGGTGATGTACCACAGCTTGAACACTGAGTTTAACAAAACTTTACAAAAATCAAGAAATAGAGATAAGATATATTTGCATTACATATATTTCTTTTCATTATTACAATTATAAGAAATCTTTACCAAAGAAAAGCCTTTACTTCTGCAAGTTACCAAGAACTGTGAGGTAAACAATAATCTGAAATAAATCTAAATGTAACAGAAACAGTCTGTGAGAAGGATGACACAGGAAAATCTGCTATGTATACTTTACGCATTTTTTTTCCTAAACTATTCAATTTGAAACTTGACTGAGATATGGAAAAAAGGGAAAATTTTATATCAGAGGGAGAAAGTGCATTTTAATAATCCTCCTGAAAAGGAACGAACCAATAGTCTTGATGTTACCTGCCGTCAGTGTCCCATATAGAGATCAAATCCCATATAGAGATCAGATCTCCTGCGAGTAGACAAAAGAAGTCTTCACTAATAAGAGAGAAAAGGAACTGTGGTTAGAGTTATGGGGAGTATATTGCAGACTCCCACCACCATGATTTTTGTTGGTTTTGTTCCCTTCTAGGATCTGATGACACCTATTGTCCAGTTGAAATTCAAGTTAAAAGATACTCCCAGTACAAAATTAATCTCGGGAACTCTTTGATTATAGACTGTCCAGTTCATTACTGCAAGAAAACGCCAGTCATGCAGTGGTGCAAGTTAGAGGTGGATACATGTGTGCTGCTGAAGGAGGGCAAAACAGGATGGAAGTCCAATGTGTTTACTCTGCAGTTTTTCTCCATTCATCAGAATGACAGCGGAACTTATCGATGTCGAGCAATAGAGGACAACTTTTCCAGCGAGAGCCACGGAATAAAGGTTATTGTTGAAGGTAGGCATCTCTATTATGAAAGAGCCCTTAAAAGGTCTGATTTGTTTAAAAACAAAAGGAAGCCACGGACAGGAAAGCTCATGCATGCAGAACGATGGCTTCTCCCAACATGTCTGCCTGGTAGCACAGTTGTGCTGGTACTTACCACCTTCTTCGTGCTTCTATGCTGCCTCTTGGTACTGGGGAAAGGAAAGAACAAAATAAAGAAATAACAGGAGTATCTGGAAGAGGAAAGCGAAGCTGCCAACACCAAACAGCCATGAGTGGACTATTTGATAATAAAAAAATATCAATTGGGACAAAACAAGGTTGTGGTAGGACAGGCTGGTTATACATCACATGGACTAGACAGGATGCAAATGGTCATGTAGTAGCAGTAGATGAGGCCACACAGCAATAAAGAGGACCAAGCATTTCAAGCGTCTTGTTGAGAGTGATCTCTCTTGCAACAAACAGAGAGAAAGTATAATTCTGTACACCAAGAAGTTCAAGAGCAGAAAAGATTACAATAGCTTTAAATGATCTTAAGGGCAAATGAGGCCTTCACATTAACTTGGGCAGCTGGTATGCCAAGTCTAGGTTATGAAGAGCCACGCCTGAACTCCATGTTGCTCTGCAGCTAGAAAGTGATCTACTGACCCCAGACAGCTGAGGTGCAAGGTTGTTCTGTTCCCAGTTCCTCTCCTGGTAAGTTAGTGACCTTCAAAACCTTGTTTGTTGACACACAAAATGCTGCAACAGAGGGAGCAACATTAAAATCCATGGCTGTGCAAGTTTCCTGTAAAGTATATGTTCTGCTGATCTATTCACTTGAATGCAAAGAGGTCTGAAAGATAGAATTACTCTGTCAGCAGTGGGAGACCAACACACCATTCCCCTTCCCCTCAAAACACCCTGCCCTTTGCTTGCTGCATTGTGTTCCCTCTTCCATCACCAGACTGAAGGGGAGGGAGCCTTGTGAAGACTTCAGTATGCAGAGCAGAGAACACAACTGCCATGCGAAATGTCAAGTTGCTGTTTCATTTCCCTCTCTTGTCTTTCTCTTTCAGAAAGCCCTGCAAACATTGTCACGGTTTCGCCAGAAAGTAAGTTCTGATTCTTGTTTCCTCTTTAAGAGAAAGGAACTAATCTGTATTGCTATGAATTTCTGTTTAAAGAGTTTTGTACAGTCAAGACAGATTGCAATTTGTTGCTGAACTACAATTGCTTTCTCCCCACTTGAAAAAGATAGTCTCTCAAGGCTCACAGTTTTCAAGGCTGGGACTGTCCAGCATGCAGCATAAAAGGGACCAAGTCAATCATATTACCTCCTGGTGGCATAATCTACACTTCTGACATGCTCTTTAGTATCCCAGTGACATATGGCTCACACATACAAAGCGTCAGCAATCATGCAATGCCATCACTTTAACATAGCCTGAAGTATGGTCTTTACTCATGGTTGGTTATTGCTCACAGTTACAATTACACAAATATATTGTACTGGTCTAATTCTGACCCTTTCTTTGCTTCTGCCATGCATCATTCATCAATTACACTGTACTGTCCACTTTGCCTTCCAGTATCTTCACGCTTCATAGAATGCCTGCAGAGGTGGTTATCTCGTGATGGGCTATACCCAGTTACAGAAAGTCTAAGTATACTGAGAAGCCAGTTGCGTTAGAAAGACTTAATGCTCAAAAAACCACACCAGACAAGTATCACTCTACACTAATCCATGTTAATGCAATTTTAGATACCACTAGTATCACAGAAGAGTCCCAAGAATCTGGAAACCGCAAGATATTGCACATTATTTATGCTTCAGCGTCTGTGGGTCTATGTTGTCCATTCATCATCATATGCATGTTTTGGTGTCTGAGGAGGCACCATGGTAAGCAGTTTTACCATCTAATCTTTGCCTAGTATGCATTTGATTCCACTCCTTTTCGCAGCTTCACAGGTTTCATTCAAAGCTCTATGAAAATCCCCTAACAATTACCCCAACTGACTTCTGAGATGTCCTCGTCCAGTGTGCCAGTTAGGATTTAAGAGTTTAATTTAAGAATTCAACTTGCCCTATGTATTATTCCCCTCCAGAGACAGAGAGGGATGGAAGTAAAGCAAGAACAAATCCAAATTTCAGACTTTATAATATTTTAAAATTTTTCTCCTGTTTTGCAAATAATAAAGTTAGAAATAAATAGGGGTTTTACCCATGCAAACACAGTCAAGCTTTATCCAGTTACATTTTACATTCCTAGATTTTTTTCTAAACTATCAAATAATTATGGTATTAATCTCTCCCTCTTTACAGGAACTCTAACACAGCTACCATGTCCTAAATCAAGAATGGAACTTGGAGTCCCCCATATCTTTATTTAAGCGAACTCTCATTTGTTTATTATAATACCATGGATTTATTTTTTATTATTTTAGGAAAATGAAATAATTTCATTTTCCCATGAAGTTTAACATGTTTGCTTATAGTTTGGCTTGAGGCTTTTTCGTGCCTTTTTCTCCCCACCCAGTTCACTGAACGTAGAGAAAACTGGCCCCAAGTACCTAGGAATTTTTTTGCTCCTATGCAGAGCAGCTTTGAGACACAAAAACTCACTCTACAGATAGATCATTCTATGTTGGTTAGCTTTTGTCACAATAGCTATTCTCAAATCCAGTGTGATAAACGGGCTTTATACTTCAAGGTCCACTCGATAAGGCAAGGACTCCCTTAGTGACTAATACCCCCTCCGTAAGCAGAAAGGCACCTTCTCAATGCTGATTTGTGAAACGTCTTTTTTTTTTTTCTCTTTTTCACAGCAAAGCAAAAGGGAAGTCCATTAACAACACAGAGACAAGAGAGCCCGGTATGTTTAAATTCTTCCATCATCAAAACCTGACCACATCCTGCACAACTGTGTACTGAGAATAAGTCTCTGTGTAGCACAAAACGTGGAATAGGATCAGAGACAGATTTAGTGACCCTCTTGGTGCCTGGACAGCTTGGCCTGCGTGGTGTGAGATATTACCAGGGCTGAGCTGAGGGAAGGAACGAAGGGTCTTAGCCACAAAGGTACTTTGGGCAGCTGAACTCCTATTAAAATGTATTAACTTGTAAGTGCCATTTCAGTAAGAGTTTAGGTACCTAAAGCACCTCTGTTGATCTGGTTCAAACTGCATAAGACAAAAAATGACCCACAGAGCAAGGAAAATGATTGAAGAGCAAGACTTTCATACGTGGCTAGCATGAATTCACAGGTCTTGCAGTCAGTTCCAGAGAAATTAGATGGGCAGAAGGCAGAACGCAAAAGATGGAACTGGAGCTGACAGCTGTCAATCACAGGGGAAGTGTTGGTAGGGATTCAAGGGCACCAGACAGGTTGCAGAGCTCCCAAGAGGCAAGCTGGAGGAAAGAAAATTAAAAGCAGTATATTCTAAGTGGCTAGAAAAATGGATGTCAAGAGGATTCCATTAGAAAGAGATGAATTTTTAGAAGAATTTTCAATTTTGGAGAAAGAAAGATTTCTTTGGAAAATACTAAGACAAAGAGGATGAAGAATGAGATCAGGAAATGGGAGAATGAGGGCCATGAGGAAAAGATAATCTGGGATTTGGAGGTGAAAATAAAAAAGATTTCATAAACTGAGAAGGAAAAGCCTTGAATGAGTGGCATAGAAGAGCTCTCACAAAATGATAAATCAGTTTTGCCATAAGTTAGACATCTTGCAAGAAAAGACGTGAGGGACTGGGAAGGGAAATGGAGAAAGGCAGGAGATACATGATTTCTAAATTTACTTCAAAGATCGATATAACATCCAGTGACCAGGTGAATCCAATTCACCTGTGCTCAGAAGCAGTTTTAAGAGGATAGAGCAACTTGAACAAAATCTTACACGCCTCTTCTTTAGCAGGAGCGCAGGCAATAACCAGACATACACAGAACTGTACCCTGTTCTGTTTTCTGCAGGTGAGAAGTCCAGCAGCTGCTCTATCCCACGCTACTGGGACAACTCAAGCTTCAGAAGAAAGCTCCTCACTTTACTATTGCTCCATGGCTAGCCCACTGCAGGCCTTGCACAGCAACACAGTTTACGACAATGATGTTCCTCCCTGGAACGTGCAGAGGACAGCACCTAATGCACCACACGATGGTCCTGCTATTCCTTCCATCCCAGTTTTACTTGAAAGCCCGGATGTCCTCACATATGCTGCAATAAATCATGCTGCTTCTGCAGAAAAATGCCAGAGAAGGGAACTAACTGTAGAAAATGAATTTACAGAATATGCCTCCATTAATGTAAAAAAATAAATGTGGCAAGGACGACTTCAGACAACCTTTTTGCATGCAGACCCAATTCTAGCTAGCTTCCAGGATTTCCCTTTCTCTTTTGGGAAAACTTCTCTGTTTTTTAGAAGAACTTATGGATGCTCCCCCGTCCATGCCAGAATTCAAAACGCAGCCCATGTTGATGGGTAGGTATTTACACCGTGTGTTTGTCTCTTAAATGGAGGAATAAAACCAGCCAGTTTTCTTATTGTGCCTTTTTTTTTGGATTCTGTTTCTAGTCTGACTTTGACTTGATTACTGTTTGAATAAAAACAAAGGGGAGGAGAAGGGTAAAGTTTTCCTATGATATAAACACATTAAATGAATCTATGAGAAAGAGGATACGGAAAGGGTTTTTTTTCCTTTTCCAAAGAATTCTCATAAACAATGTGTGAAAAAATATTGAAATATAACACACTGTTTTTCTCTTGGTGGGATGATTGGTTAGCAAAGTTGTTGCATATTATTTTCGTCTGTGATGAATCGATGGAAGTAACAAATGATGAGCAGTGACTCACTCTAGTGAAAATCAAAACTTTTTGCTCACAGGTAACTGTGCATAACTGTGTCACTCTATTTCTTCCTCCCAACACTGGCACAAAAAAGAGATTATGCTTCATGGTCAGGTTTGCAGGAAAGAAGATAAAAAGGAGGTAAAGACCAAGGTGCCATTTGAAGTTTGCAAAGAACACTCACACCCTTCTGCACCACTTTTTCATCTCTAGCTTGGATACCATACATCCGCTCTTGTGAAATAATACTCTTTAAAATGACTCTTAGCAATATTTGCACCAGAGGTGTACAGCAGCAAGCAAGGAGTCTTTAACTTGGTTAAAAATTTGCACCACAGTTGAAGAGGAAGGATGTACTAGGTCTCACACTGTACGTAACACACCGGATGATTTGCACTCAAGTTAATGGAAGAAAGTCAGGCTCCTTTGTCTTCATATTTGATCTTGGTATCATTCCAGCTAACATCAAAGCTGTTAAGCACATGCACCTTGATATTTTGGTAAGTTAGATGCTTTATTATACTTATGGTACACTTGTGCTCCCCCACTAGTTTGAAGTCAATCACAGTATCGGTGCAGAGAAAAATCCATGGTAATTTTTTCTGCACTAAATTTCTGCACTAAGTTGGTAGTTCAGGCCACTAGATATGTTGGTAGTTTGAGCTTTTCTTATTTTTTTAAAATATAAATTATCAATCTAGTAAGTCATTGACAGTCCTCATAAAAAAAAAAAGTAGAGAAAACTGTCTGCTAGAAAAATTCAGTTTCTTCTGTTTTAGTAAGCCAGTCCTTGTGTGTCTAGAGACTACTTTAGGAGAGGGACTGGGAAACCTGGAGCAAGTTTGATATGAATAGGCGCAGAAATAGACCTTTAATTGCATTTATTGCTCACCTGATACAGGTAAAATTATTTTCATGGACTACAAACAGATTTCAGAATAAGAAGATATTCTACCTCAGTGGTCTTAAACTGCCAAACAAGGACAGCTGTTCAATGGAGAGCCTAAATGAACTTGAATGAAAGGCATCAAACTTCTCTAGTTGCTTTCCATGACCTGGATACAGGCCTTGCAGTCAGAAGGAAAAGAGTAGAAAGGCCATCCTTCCAGAGAACAAGTACACGTGAAACAATATGTTTCTCAAAGCTGCTTTGCAGTACTCTGCCCATACCAGAGTACGTATAGGGAAGCGTCCAAAGACCCTCAGGAAAGCGAGGACGGGTGCTGGGGAAAGGTGCTTTGCCTGTTTGAGTTACCAACCAGCTCTGAGATGCATTCATCAGGGCATGCAGAGCTTTCCCTCTATCACCCCAGTGACCTGAAAGCACCATCAGGTCTGTTCAGAGCAGCCCCAGAATGATGCATCAGCAACTGGGACCTAGAACAAGACTGAACACACGTGCGAGAAGTGTTGCGCCATAAGAGATGCAAAAGCCAGTGATATTTTAATGTGGCTTGTTTCATCTGTACAGCAAGGCGGAACCCTGGCTTAATGATGTCCCCAGAGAGCCAAGATTGATTTGGAAGATGAGATTTTTGTAGATAAACAGGAAGTACCTCACCACCTTGCCATGAAACATGCTCGTGTAGAAAAGCAGAGCACAGGAGCCTGCACAGGAGCCTGCAGTAGGTTCATTTTTTAAGCAAACAAATTGAAAGACTGTGCCTTTTGAAGCAGCGAAACAAAAGACACTGACTGAAAGCATCTGCCTTTTAAGGTCCAAATAATCCATTCAGATGAAGTACAGCATCACTCAGTTTTCAGAGCCTTCTGAAAGAAAAGAAAAAAGGAAACAGTACAACTGGCCAGCGGATGGAAGTGCTATTTCACTTAAGGTGCTATACATTCACCTCAATCATCTAGCGCGCCTCTCAAAAACATAATGCCACCTTTGAGACATCACACCCAATGTCGGTTGCGTTAAGGCCCGGTGGGTGGCCTTTAAAACTGAGAGTGCAGCATCTTACTTGAAGTGGCAGGACACCAGTGGGAGCAGAGCAGTCTCACGATTCACCCTGCGTGCTCAGCGCCTGACTGAAAGGAGCTGGTTCTGAGCTAAACCCTGCAGTGAAATCACACAATCATGACAGTGCGCTGAAGGAAACAAAAGGGCTTGGGACCCATTCTGTGGGAGATGTGCAGCACCTTTGCAGTCTCCCAAAGAGGTGGTCCCAGGGCCTTCAATTTATGTTACATAGTTTTCTACTTCTTTTCTTTCTTGTGCTATTTTTGCATCAAAGATGTTGTACGGGTATTGTCACACAGGAAGCCCAAAGAACAGACACAAAGCCGTACTGCTCTGTTACACCCACAAACCCACATGGAAGGAAAATAGAGAAGTCTGTGGAGCTGAAGGTCTGTCAGTGCCAGCAAAGCACGTTATTGCTCTTCATTGCAACCTCTTCATGCAAGGGAGGAACATGTAACTGGTTGCTCCCTCCTAAGCAACCTGCACAGCACGTGAGCCCCTTACAGGCTTAGATGGCATGAGTAGGCTCTTAGACACATCAACCATCCTAGTTTCACTTTTTTCATTTTCTCCCCTCCCAAAATACTGTGCTTCCTTATAAAGACACAAAAAAATCAGAATAAATAGTGTGAGTTTATTAATTTGCCAAATCTTGGGCCCCAAAAGTCTAGCAGACAGGGGACTGCCCTTGTCAAACCACAAACTTTTTCATATTGCAAGATGATCAAGCAACAGCTTGCCGAGCCTTGCTTCTCCACCTACCTGTTTTGCAGTGCTTTCCCCTACATCCCCACAACAGCCTGAGCCTCATTTTACCTCAGAAGGCTCACAGGCAGTGAGGAGAGTGTAGAAGACAGTGCTACAGCCAAAAGTACTTGAAAAGTGGAGCTTGCACCTTCAAGAAAAAGGCATCATCTTACACTGCTGTGTTTCCTGCTGTTTCCCCTCTAAGGAAGTGGCCAGGGCTGTAAATTGTAGGAGTGCTCCCCAAACCAAAGAAACAGGGTGTACAGACAATGTTCGTTCCTTGGTTCACCTGATCTGCTCCACCTAGGTCCTGCTGCACCTGTGTTACCCACACCATTACGGCAGTGGACTCAGGAAGAGAAAGGGGCAGCACAGACAGAGAGAAACATAGGACAGTCTGGGACTCAGAAGTCAAGCTCCACACCAAAGCCTTGCTCCTTGCAGCCCAGCCATTCCCCATGCTCTCAGCTTGGATCTTTCCAGCCTCCAGTAAATGCTAACATTCCTTGGGTCTCCCTATGTCCCACATTCTCACTGGGGGACGGAGGACACAAGCCCGGAGCCAAGCCCTGAGACCAGACCACAGCACTGGCCCAGGCACACAGGCTGAGGGAAGAGGCAAACATCCATTTCCCTGAGTGGGCTGTTCCCTGTCCTGCTCCTTGCACAGGGTTCCTCATTCTGCTGTCTCCATGGCTCTGCTTTCCTACCCTGTTTCATATTGGCAAACATCAGCCCAGGCAAATGGGAACCAGAGACAGGAACAGACACAAGGACGGTGGCCAGGGAAGAGAGAGGAGCGGATTTCAGGGGGAGACAGAGGGCAGGAGAGGGAGACCTGAATGAGAATCCAGAAAAGTATCCCCAAGGAAAACCCGCAGAGCCTAGAGGACAGCAGAGTTAGCTACAAAACTTGAGATGAAAACAGTCTCATGTCCCTCAACACAGACTAAGTGCAGAAATCTCATTTTTCTGTGAGTTCTAAGTGGCAACTACTATTTTCCATTAAAAAAGCCTACACTGGGCCAGGCCTGCTCATGCACTATTCTTGCTCATCTCATGAAAATGAAAGTGCCTAAGAACCATGTAGGCCCACATTTCCATCCACACAGGTCAGTGGCGTATGTCAGCCACATGAATCAGCTGCACTCCTACTCTCAGTTTCACACAGGTGTTCACCGTGCATAAACACAGCAATTACTTTACCTAGCCTGAACTCAAATTTCAAACTCCAGTTCCCCTCTCTGCCTTCTCGTACATACATACACAACCCCGGGGACCCATGGCTTGGACACTGCTGCCATAGTTACTGTCATGTAAAGCAACAGGATATGATCAGTACTGGGAACACTGTTAGGAGGCTGAGCTTCTCACTGTTATGAATCTTGACCTGTGAGACAGAGGAGTTCACGTTATCATGACTCGTATAATTAATTATGCATCTTGTATAGTTGATTTTAGTCAGGAGACATGCTTAGTCAACTGCAGTTTGGAGTAAAGAATATGCTTGGCATGAAGTGTAACCAGACTTAACCAAGAACATGGGAGTGATCATTTTGCACAATTGAAGAGTAAAAGTTTGCTGGCTTTAACTAGCAATACAGCAGCTGAGTTTTAATCCAAGTGGCATTTATTCTCAGGCTAACAGACTTGAATTCTCTTTTCAGATGAGATTTTCTAGACGAGCTAGTGCACATGCATTACTTTCTAGTTATCACACGTCTGTACATGGCATTACCAAGACTCCAGTCGGCAGCAGCGTCGTGGTGTTTGCTGCAGCTCGGCGCCGTGGCTGCTGAGACACAAACGTGTCATCAGGCAGTGAATCACACACACTCAGTTTTCACACTGCAGCTTTGGAAAGGAGAAAGGCAGTCAGAGGCAGGCATATTCGACAAGTGCACTACCGGTGTATGAAGAGGAACTGTATGATACTGTGGTTAGAAACCAACAGTAGCTAACAGACAGTCTCTCCAGTCCATCCCAGCAAGACACATGCACTGGGACTCAACACTTCCTAAAATCAAGCTGCCTTGGCCAATAGGGATCTCTTAAACTTATTAATAACCATCTGTTTATGTCCTTCCATCTGAATTTGTGGCTAATAATATTTTCTGTGGACGACTTGCCCCCAGTTGGGGTAGTATCTAGGAAAAGGCACACCTACTGCATACGCAGCATTTCTGCATGTAGCCAGATGTACCAACACGTGTCTGCTGCCTGAGACCTGGAACTATGACAAAGTCTCTTTAGGTCTCAGCGCTGTTCTCTTTGTGGTCACAAAGAGCCAGCTTCTCACCTAACACAAAGGGATTCAGAATCATCAAAATCTACGGAGCTGCTTCACCTCACACCAACTGGTCTGTAGGTGTTTCTGTTCTTCAAACAGCGCTCAGGGTAATCCATAAAGTCACTATTCACAGATTTCTGGATGCAGCCTCAGAGGCTACATTTATTTTTTCCTGTGTAACCTGTTCCAAAACAATGCCTGCCTCAGTAAAAGAGGTGGGAGTGCACACTAAAGTTAATAATAAGAAATTTGCCTACTTCTAGCATTTCTGGATTATGGGAAGGATGATGAAACAGGATTGGCTTCTGCTAAAGTCCTTTCTTCATTTTTTAACCTGTTAATACTCAGAAGTCTACTATCTAAGCATTACATCAGGGGTTTAGCCTTATTTTGCTGCATTTTCACAAATTCTGCAGAGGCCCAGAACCTTTGGGAAATGCTATTTCAACAAAATTTGATAAAAAATTCAGTGAAATAACTTGCACCTCCCTTTG